GTCGTCTTCTATTCTTATTGGTCAATAGGCACCATTTACTGAACCAGTAGGAGTTTGCTGTGGTCGATTTTGATTCTCCCCCGATATTTTTCACATATCATATAAGAGCATGCGCACTTTCATAAATACAGTTATGGTTACGGCCAAGAATGGACACTGAAACATTGGCGAAATTCCCTGTCCACGAATAAAAGCCCCGCTCTCTTGCAGGAATTAGCCTTCAATAAGCGTACGTGTGTAAATTAAGGTCCACCATGACTTCCATTCACGTGTGGCAAATTATCCACTCAACGCGCTTTCGGCCTTTCTAACGCTATCGATTGACTCGCTGCCTGAAAAGTGTGTAAGCTTTGAGTCAATCGATACTTTTGCTTGATTTGATTGGTTGCAGGCGAGAGAGCATACATTACGACAGGCCAGGCTACACAACAGCACACATTTTCACCGACACAACAGGACTTGCTGACAATTATTACGGTTGTGCCTTTTATATTCAATATTATCCCTTATAAGACGTTGACGCGTTACGTCATTATTATCTTGAGATACCGCTCACTAGGCGCTTCGTTAGTTTGCCTGGACGTGGAACCTCGGTACCTTCACTAGCCAAAAAAATAAAATCTGTGTCAAAGTGGTCAAAAAACGGAATGCCCAAACTTAAAGTTTTTGATATTTTTAATATCCATATCAGATTTCAAAAAGGAAAACAATTATCTGTAAGACTGTACCGGAATGAGGAGGTATTGAACTGGTATATTACGATTTGTTTACATAGGCATATATCAGATATAAAATCTTAATAAAAGCCGATTGAAGTTCTAAGAGGACTTAACTATTTGAAAAGATGGTCTACGTAGGCTCGTTATAATGTCAAGAAGGAAAATACCAATAAGTCTGTCTCATTTTAAGCTTCTGCCTCTTTAGCGATCCTAACGTCAATCGTCGGCAAAAAATGATCTGTGCGTGTAGTTAGGTTTCGTGCATCCCTTCAATGATTTTTAATATCATTTTAAATTCAAGCATAATTTAGAGAAAGCAAGTAACTGACATATAAGTGTTCTGCACATTCAGTCGTCTTCACATTGTATGCTCGAACGAAATGTGTATTTCAGTTTTTTAAGAAACGGTTTACCCTCATTCCCTAAAAGGCTAAACTGACCTGTTGTTAAAAATGAATCAAGAGCTTCCAAAATTAAAGCCATGTTTTTTATGTTTAATGAAAATGCCATATTTGCATATTCTATGCCGAAGATATTCTATAGGGCTCACAAAATGTAGACGGAGGTGTGGACCAATGGTACTAATTCCACAATGTTTATCTTCCTTGCTATCGGAACTTCTCTGCATCAAAAAGCGTGCGCCTCGCCGCATAACAAATATAAAAATCAATTGAGAGCGTACAATAACTTTATTTGAACTCTCAATCACATAGATCGTAATTATACTGTCTACGTTCGTTCAACTGACTATGATAACACTTAAAACTTTAAACGCGAACAACAACGGAATTCGCAATCCCTGGATTCGAACATTACCACTGATTGTATAGAGTTGACGCGAAGGAAAACGCCCATTTCAAGATATTATGCGCAATTGCTGCATACAGTAGACCTCATAAAATGTGAAGATCGAAAGTTGAATATGTGGTTTAACACATTCGAGGTTGTTTATCTTATGCATTTAATAGACTTAATGCGTAAAATGTTGTTTACTAGGAAAACGTTCATTTCAAATGAGTGTATTAAAGAAAAAATTGACCGAATTCGGCTAAATCCAACGTTTCTTGATATCCAAGTAATTTCCTATGCTATTAAACGCTGCGGACCAAAACTCCTTGTTCATGTGTGTTCAAGTATAAAAGGATATTAATAAAGAACATAATTTTTTAAAAGTATATCTGTTCAAAGAACAGTCAATATTTTTTTGCGTTCATGAAATTGAGGTGAGTGCAAATATAAGAGCAGATTAAGGTTTAAATATTTTTTTTGCAAATCTGCGATGTTTTGGGCCAAAAAAGTAAGTAATAAACCTATAAGGCTGTAATTTGTTTTAATACACCGGAAATAACGACCGTAAGCAAGCATATATATGAACACCCGAGACATGCCCTCACTTCCCTTTGTCAAGATATGAGCAAAAGACTTCCAAACGTTTTCTGTCTACAGTTCTATATGAAAGAACAGAGAGACTTTAAACAGAACGGACAGAAGATCCTCAGTTTTCGCAAAATCATTGTACATATTCTGCCCCTCCGTTGCGTTTTTGCAATCTTACAATGGGGCCTTAAAGAAAAGAATTTTACTGAAAGCTGCTGTAGTATGCACAGAGAAAAGGAGAT